CTGACCATCCTTAAATATAGGACTGACTATAGCGCCTTTCCAATCTCTAGGGAGTTGAGCGAGTGAAAGAGTGTCGCAAGCGTTCTTGAAATAATGCCCTCAAGAGACGACAACAGCCGTTGATGTAACCCATTAGGGCCCGGTATCTTACAAGGTTAGAGGTTAGTTATAAACGGAAGGACAGTGACGGATCATGTTACAAATCAATATGTGTCGGTTTTGTAATACATTGTACAAGTGCACACTGAATAACGGTAGATAAAAGGTTGCTATCGAAACCACTACCTGGAGCTGTAAGTTCTATCCAGTTGATATGCGGTGCGTTGAAGTCCCCACTGATGAGACAACATCCTGCCATACTCCAAGAACAGAAATGTCTTAGGATAAAGTCGTAAGCAAGACAGTACGGACTACGGTATATTCCCCCTATAGTCACTAACCCATTTCTAGATTTAATCTTACAACATGCAACCTCACATGTGCCACTGATATGAGCCTCCGATATGGATGATTGTATACGAAAGTGATCCCTAACGTATAATATTATACCTCCCCCTTTGCAACTTGAAACTCTATCACTTCTAATACACATATAACCAGCAATGAAAGGAGAACAGTTTATATCAATAGTGAACCAAGTTTCTGTAACAACGATTACATCGGGGCATAATTCTTGCACCATCAGACTTAGCTCGGACGTTTTATTTCTAAGACTACGAGCGTTCGTGTAGCACACACTTAAGGGGTTTTGGAAACCAATCGTTCTACTCATACAGGCCTCGGAAGCATTGGCTTCCAAGACCTGACTACCCGAAAACCCTTAATGGTAAGGTTATTTTCGCCATTTAATTTGCGAGTCCTCAACTCTGTAAGAGCATTCTTCCACTTGATTCGATCATCAAGCGGCCAATCTGGTCGAATACGGATATTTGAGTCACGAGCTTTTAGTGCGCTTTTCAATAATATGTCTCTTTCCTCAAAACTCCCGAGAACCAGCTTCAGGATTCTTCTTGGTTGGGTCTCGCCTCCAATCCATTTACCAAGTCGTATTACTTTTGTAATATGTACCCCTGAAACCTTTTCAGGTAGTAAATGGTTCAAATGGTTGTGGACGGAATAGAAGAAGCTCTCGCTTAACAGGCTTCCGTGTCTAGTAGCAGGGGATCACCAAATCTTTCAGGCAGGAACCTAGGTATGTTAACCATAAGAGGAAAAGAAATTAATAAATCATAGTGTGATACTATCCTTGGTCTTTAAGAATAGATCAAGTTGCCTCTTAAAAGACTCCTGGGAAGTTACTTGTACTAGCTCGCTTGGCAGCGAATTCCAGCATTTGACAACTCTTAAGGAGTAAAAGTTGTGTCTACAGTCCGTTCTGCTATGTTGTGTCTCCAGTTTTTGGGTGTTAACTCTTAGATTAATGTTGAAACTAAGCTTAAGTAGGTGTTTGAGAGGATTCCAGAAGTGTTAGGGATACTATAAGCCATCAGAAGGTCACCTCGAAGACGTATATACTCTAATGAGTAAAGGTTAAGTGAATGGAGGCGCTCTTTGTAAGGTTTAGATTTGAGTCCTCGAACTGATTTCGTGGCTCGCCGTTGGATACACTCCAGGGTGTCCTTATCCTTTTAGACTGAGGGGGTAATACTATGTTTCCGTACTCTAAATGGGGACGGATAAAACTATTGAAGATTATATGGAAAGTTCTTCCGTCAAACTGTTCAAAAAGACGCCTCAATGTTACCAGTGCAAGGCTTGCTCGGAAGGCATTTTTGTCACAGTTAGTGTAATACTTTAAATCGTAGGGCACCAGGAGTCCTAAATCTTTTTCGACTTGGGATACTACTAGAGAGGATTTGCCTAAGTTATAACTGTAGTCTGCGACATGTCACAGATTGACTACTTTACACTTTAAAGGGTTAAAAGTAAGCCCGTTGTCGTCTGCCCAACTTTGAAGTTGAGTCAGATCCTCCTGAAGTGCCTGTATATCGTCTTGGTTGCGTATCTCTCTCCAAAGTTTCACGTCGTCGGTAAAGAGTAACAATTCTGACGTCTAGACAGTTCACAAGTGGAATGATCTGCTCCAACTTGCCTTTGTGTTTGGACGTAGCTTCGTATGGCCTATCCGAGTGCATGTGGATTCCAGGTGGCAGTCGACGTCTGTTGGCACGAAATGCTTCCAGAGTTTCAGCCGCCATATGGGAAGATGGGAAGGTTATCTTCATTAGACGAGGTCTAGAATCACTATCCTTCTTGGCTAGTCTCGTCACATGCTGTGTCAGTATGTGTTTGAGCCTCAAGGACTGTTTGATGAATTTACATTCCCTGATGTCAGTCTTTGATTGAGTAGGGTCCGTATTTTCCGGTATACCTTGCACTGTTATATTCCTCCCGCGGAAAAACTGATCGCGAGTTTCTTTGGGGATGTTCCGGATGAGATTGCGCTCAGAATACGGTATGTCAGGCAGTATTCTTACATTCTCATCTGATTTCAATAAATGACTCGCTAGTAAGACATCCTCTACGTCGGTAGCATTCTTAAGTGTTACACGAAGTAGCCTCGGGTGATTTTGATGCTTAGATTCCTTTCCCCGAGTGAGCCGTGTGACTGTCAAAGGCTCTATTCTTGGAAGTCCAAGTTTCTTGTTCAATTCTCCCCAGAGCATCCTATCATTTTTGTCCTGCAAACTGAGAGGAAGGTCAGGGTTGTCTTTGAAGTTCATGACTATGAGAGAGTCATCACGAACCGTCCCGGGTTTTCCGGTGCGTTCAGGTTTAGCACCTTGTTGTTTGGGGGTCGAGGCACGTTTATGAATCCTTGGCTCTTTGATGACAGGACGGACAATCTTGAGAGTAGACTGTGCGACCAGATCACTAGTTGACTTCCGTTCGACAGCTGGGATGTTCAACTTAGACTGTGACGCCTGGCCCTTTTTAGCTCTTTTGACATGGGTCCAATCACCTACAGAGCTTTTGGGAACCACTGTCGCGTTCAAGGACCTTGAGCTGTGAGACCCAAGTTTGCTGATGGAGTCGATTGCTGTCGTCGTAATCATGGTGCTAACTTTCAGCGTGTCATCATTAATGCTGTTGCATGCTCCGTCGTTGGTAGACCTGTCGACACTCCTGTTCTCGTTTTCAATGCGCTTTCTTGTTCGTCTACCCATTTTTTGACTGTCTTTTCCCAAGTTTGCAGACAACTTACTCTGCAGACCTGTCAGTAGGACAATGATATTACTCAGCAAGACTACAGCATCCTTGCTGAACGTAACACATTCCCACTCATGATCCAACTTGCTGAGTCTGTTGTAAGCAGTTGCTGTGAGATCTGTGCACGTTTCGTGGAACCAAACTTTGCAGTTGTCGCACTGCATGCCAGATGTAACAGCAAAACGGCATCCAGGTCGTTTGCATGAATTTTTCATGACTGTATTGACGTAAACTGTGTTGTAGATGCTAGCAAAAGCCTAAGACCGTAAAAAATACACTAAAAAACACACTGAAAACTGAAAAAATGGATAAAGTGGATGAGATAAACTGAACTAGTCTTTACGTGAAAAAGTGAAAAAAAGACCGAATAGTAAGCTGAGGCAAAACCACAGTTAACTATTACATTGGGTGAAACTCAAAAAAAGTAATCTACAGAACGTTTAGCTCAGGATAGATTCTTCTGGACAGAAATGGTAACTTTGTTGCGTAAGAATACAGCAAAAGTTTGATAAATGCAAATCACGTTAGGACTAAACTTCCCGTTCGAAAAGCGCGCGGAGAGACATTCCTTACATTCCTTACCACAGACTCCACTAACTGCAGGTCATGTTCATGTCTTCTAACAGGGTCGTTGTCTTTCGACTCCTCTAGATTCCAAATAATTAAACTAAGGAGGGGTTTAGCTTCTTTTGAAACTGTGTTCACAGCTTTCGACCGTGACGTTAGACCCTGTATTTTAACTACTGGTATCTTACGATTAGTTTTTATTGTAACAGAGTCCTGGGAGTCGCTTTACCATGGGACTTTGGCGGAGCGGTCTGAGAGTCCACCAAGGACTTATCGAGTAAACGGTCATTAGTTTTAGCTGTCTTTCCTACTCTTCTGCGTTTCCGTGTCATCCATATCCCATCAATCGTAGCATCCACATTAGAACCACTCGGGACAGTAATTGTTTTATCTGGGTCACCGGTTGCTGCTGTAGCAACATGTCCACCAATATCTAATGAGGTGTCACTCATTGATTGTTTCGGGGTAGACGGTTTAATAGCGGGATGCACAGTTAGATGTCTGGCTTGCGCCGTGACAGCACTCACGACACTAACACAATCTTCGCCATCAGTACCAATGTTGCTAGTACAGCCCTCATCAAACTTCTTATTAGCCAACACCAGAAGACTAATTGCTTCCTGGATAAGTAATGTTTTTCTCGAGCAACAAAAACTACAAAGCCAATGAGAGTTGGGCTTTGAGCACTTTTATATGCAGTGGGGCTTAATCGGGTGCACATCTTATGGAACCACTTATTACACTCATCACATTGCATCCCTTCCTCCACGGGAAATGAGCAATATGGTCGTCCACATTTATGAGCAGATCTATCCATCTTGAAAATCAACTGGAACGGTGACAAAAACAGGATATGTAAAAGGATTCTCAAACCTTAACTAAATGAATCAAGTAAAAGTTGACCAAGTATGCTTCGATGCAATAAACACACAAAAGCAAAGTCGAAACACTCAATACAATATCACTTTAACTGGGGTAGATGCAATTAAAGTGTAAACAGTAGTTTTGATGCGTAATTTACGATCAAAACAGTTAATTAACTCAACGATAAACAATACCACAGTCCTTTTAAATAGAGCGCGTGAATTTTCCAGAGACTGATATCATAAATGGAAAAATGCAACCGTAATCATATTACTAGTTCTCCGTGTCTCAATTTTACAACCTTTCATACGGTAAAAAAACTAATATATCATCGGCTTCTTGCGGTATCGAACCTACGGATGATAAAATTAATGCACTCATTTTTGCAAAAAATAGCAAACAAATTCACCAGGATTATTGCAAGTAAGTGGTTAGATTATCTACATTGAACTATAATAAAGATCTTAAACTGTTCTGTAACGTCTAGAGACGGGAGCATGGGAATTAATTTATTTATTTATTGTTCACAAATATACTGAACATTGCATTAAAGGCTGCGCGGATAGTTTAACTTGTTCAAGGCTAATCTACAACGTAAACACTCCTACAGGATTTACCTATTTCTTATCTTCAGAAGATACATTATATGAAGAAAGCAAATATCCTGCATGTATATAGATTTTCTTATATCAATAAACATCGAGGTTCTGGACAGTAAAACCACTGAATCAAACAAAATCAGTATCACTCTATCTGCTCGAGGGAGACTAAAACATTGATGACAATGGATGCTTCACATTCTCTCTTAGAACAAGACAACAACCGTAGGGCCGAAGAAATGTCGCACAAGGTTTCTCTGCTTAAGGCAGTACGTATATAGAAATTTTTTCCGACATTTATTAGGCCGTTATAAACTTTACTTAACAGATAGTGATGTATTTCAGCTGTGTTTGCAGAGCACGTATATTGTGCGATTTTTGTCTATAAATAATTTTGCCCCGAAATCTTGTGTAACATTGACAAAAGCGAGATTTAGATGCCTGGAATTGGTATGAAATTTCGTGTACTGAAGTTGACTTCAATATACCAAAACGGTTTTAATAAAAATCCACTTTAGATGCTTTATCGATAACACTATAGCTTTTTTATTAAACGGCTGTGTATTTTCATGTCTTATGACAACTCCAGCCCTTCCATGCACCTAAATTTATTTTCAAATTACCATTGGTATTTTGTTGAATTTTTTGCTAACGATGACTCTTAAGTCACTATATGTCTGGACGACAGGTAGCCCAGTGTTATTAATCGTGTATGTATCTGTACCTTGATGACCGATATGCATCACAACACATTTGGAAGTATTTATCACGAAATTTCTGTCCACCTACGTATAGATATGTGGATAAGTAGCCATTGTTTAACAACTAACCAGTTTGACGATAACGCTCATTTTTACTACACTATATTGGCTGATTATAGTAGGCTAACTAAACAAAGCACTCTATTTTTCTACGTAAACGGATTGTTTGACTTTAAAAGTAACACATTGACTCGGTTTTTAAAGAAGTCCAAGTAAGCTTAACCCTACACAGATTCTTTTCGTGGTCTTAATACGAAAAGGAAATATTTTAAAGGCTGTTAACTCAAACGAATTCATCTGCTGTAACAGTTATGGATACTTTCCTGATCCTTTATACCACATTTAAGTGCACTTAATATTTAGTAATTGTGTGAATCATTTCCAAATGTTTTTAGTTAAATGAATTTACCTATTTTTATGCTTAAATATGCAAAATGTAATTTGTATATTCTCAATCAGCTTGTATATATGGTTTTATATCTCAGTAATTTTAGCCACTCTTTTGTACAAATAATAGTTTTGTTCAGTTAATCAGTCATAACATATGGCTTGGCACGGATGCGCATTCGTCAGTCTCTATAACACAGCAGCACAATGTGATGGAATTGAAATTAAATGATAGTAACAAGGATAATGAGGATACCCCATATAAGTTTACTCTAGAGTGTCCATGTTTCTGGGGTATATAGTCACCGTTAATTCAGTGTGTGTAGTTATCATTTTGTATGGTACATAAAAGCTATTGCACTTTAAATAATCTATAAATGCACATCTATTTCAATAAATAAATAGTAAGGGAAGGTCGCTTCATGAATATGTTTTTCTTCCTTGTTAACGTTTACGACTCCCTATTACATTTTTTATTCATTCTTGCGATTTTAAAATTATTCCCTGGCACACTGAATAATCAATAAATTGTGTTTTGTGACCTTGTTTATTTTATACTTATTCATCATTTCATTTTGTCGAAACTTGCTACCTTTACTCATGTACTGAATTCGTGTTTGAGTTACACCCTCAATATGAGGGCTAGTTATACTATTCGGAAGCTCAAATCTGAACAATAACAGTGAAGTTCAAGTCTGCGGCTTATGAGTAAACCTATTTTAAAGAATTGTTCATTGTGTGTAATGAGTAAAGCCTACTCACCATCCATTAACTGGATGTTACCTAATATCAAAGTGTTTGTCCTTAGCATTAGGTGATCGTCATAATAGTGAATTTTGAACGATGTTGACTTCCTCATTTATATTGTCAATCTCCCTACCATAAATTGGAAATGTTAACTTCTCGTTTCACGTTACAAAAAGATGAGCATTTGTTTAAAAAAGTTTTAAAAGTAGGATAAGTGAATAAGTTGATTGACCTCGTACAAGTTTATGTAACAGTTTTCAAGCTGAGAAAAATTCATGATTTCGGGGCCGGGAGTAGAAGTATATAGATTCGATGTTGATTAGTTAGTAATTAGTTTTGTTTTAGCGACTAATTTCACTTCATTAGCTATCATAATTAGTCGTATTTGTAATTGACTATTGACTACTTACCGTCTAAAATCTACATATTAAATCCCTATATATGGTCAGAGAAACTACACCTATAGCATGGTAGACTGCAATCGTTTTATCTCTTGTAATATCTGTTTGTTATAAGTGGTGAATAATTATTATAAGTATGTAGTCTTTTTATTAATATGTATATGACGATTTGCACACTGTTTTCTGTATTCGTTTTTTTTTTTACATTTTTCTCTGTAGTACGCCAAAGATATTGAAACTGAATCCAAGTCACAAAATAAATTTCTTGATGAAATTCAGGGCTCGTTCGACAATGCTAGTAATCTTTTGTCAAATACACTTCATCGAGTCCTTGGAATACCAAAGAAGCGTACAAATAATCGGAAATTTATGTGTTATGTAATTTTATCTGTCGTTCTCTTCATATTACTGGTGTATCTCTTTGTTTTTCACAGATATAGTTAGCTAACCATTGTCATTGTTGTATTACAGGTTCCCCTTTCTCGATTTTTCTAAGAATTTCTTTGGGTTATGCCCATTACTTAAAAAAGAAATATTACATTTGTCTTCCCCTTGTCATTATTGTAACTCATCCTGGGAACTGCCAACTTCCTCAGTAAATTTTATCATTAAAATAATTATAATAAGCATATAGCGTTGTATTTAATATTTTGGTTTGCAAAAATGACTTTGTTTTCCTACATTCTTTTACTATTTTGTCTACTCCCTCATTCCTTGAGAGAATCCAAATCCAGTTCATTACAGTGTTAACTGTTGACTACTTTTTTATTCGAAACGTTTTCATTAACCAATTGATAATAAATCTAGTGTCTCTGTGATTAACCCTCAATTCTTTTCGTTTATAGGCTGCTATTTTTCAGTGAAGTAGTGGGATCAGTGGTTGAGGCTTTCTACTTCTACCCACTCAGTCACAGGCTGTGTCCCTGCTTCACCTACATTGGTTTGGGCGACTAAATGGTATCATCAGGCCTTTCAATTAGAGTTTTCCTTGGAACCAAATATACGAATCTGTACCTAGTAAATAAGTTTTTTTAAAAACTAATGTTTACATTAATCCCAGAATACTACTAGTTGAATAAAATAACACAATAGATAGCTAAATAGGTCTGAAAAGTATATGCAGCTATAAATCCTAATGTATTGCTTATCTCGAGTAACCCTTAACAGGTTACACTTGAGTCAGTAATACCTTCGACAAGTATAACTTTTAATTTTAAGAGATTGGATTTTCCACCTGAGACTAGAAGAGTCCATATTTAGGATTTTGGACTACTTAACTGTTTAAGTTTGAACCCCCTCTCCATAAGGCACAGTCCTACGACCAGGGATGTCGAAATAGCTCTTCTGGGTTCTGCTTTCAAGTTGTCTCCAAATAGTATTCATGGTTCTAGTGTCTCTTCCCGATTCCCGCAGACATATGCTCTTCAATCTGCTTCATTTCCCTCCACTTTGACGACACCAAGTTGTGTCTTGTCTTGTGATTTGGCCTAATGGTTTGCGCACAGTCTGACCTATCTAATCCCAGCTTCCTTTCTTGATTTACTCCTCCTCAAGTGGTAGCTGGTTCATTCTATGCTGAAGTACCTTATTACTGATGGTCTCAGACCAATGCATCCGGTGTATTTTAAGTAGACATTTGTTTATGAATACCTTTACTTCGGTGATAGTGGTGGTAGTTCTCCAAGTTTCAACTCCATACAATAGAACTGTTTTGACGTTAGTACTAACAATCATGACTTTTATCTTGGGTGGAAGTTGTGTAGAGCACCAGAAGTTCAGTTGTAGGAGTGTTGCCTTTGCTTTTCCAATCCGTGCCCTTAACATGTTCACTGGGTATCCTTTATTTACTACTGATGCTACTCAAGTACGTAAAGGTTTCCGCCTTTCCCAGAACTACCTCAAAGTATGATTTGTGTGGCATCAGCTGTTGAAGCGCATTTCCGTATTAGCTCTGCTACACGGACTGTCTCCGTCTGCATTTGTTTCTGTGTGTGCTGGATGAGCTGAGTCATCTGCGAGATAAACTCATCAATCTGTGTCCAAGGTGTCCACTTCGTTTCCTTGAATGATGGAGGTCTTCACAGTCTAGTCAACAACCAAAAGAAGAAGTAACGGAGAAATTAGGCGAAGATTTTATATACCTGTCTCCACTTGAAATGCGTCTGTGGGCTTTCGTTAGTGCACGACATCGGGATCAAGCCTCGTATGGGTTAAATATGATGGGACGTAGAGCATCTTTTGATTTCCATATCTGACTTGTGCTCCTCTGCTGGTGTGCTGTCTGTTCCTCCTGTTTTGTTGTTCTCGATTTGTCTGATGGCCTTGGTAGTTTCCTCTATTGTTGGCGTGGTTCTGTCTACAGGTGTACTGCTTCGGTGTCCGGCGGGTACATGGGCTCTGGTCTATTAAGAGCTTTTCATTGTGTTCTACCCACCCGTTCTTCCGCTCCCAAGCCTTAGTGACTGGTTTAATTCCATTGTTCCTTACTGTTCGCTCTGGTCCACTATATTTTCTTGCTAGCTCATCGGTCGTATCATCAAGTTGTCTCGTATTTCCTTCCTTGCATTTTTTCGTGATGAAGGTTCCAGGTCCAGATGGTTTACATAGATCCATTTTTTATTCTAGTGCCTCCTGAACCTCGAAAGTTTTTAGTATGCTAAATTTGGTGCCTCGTCAACCCGTTTCCAGTTGCTCGTTTTTGTGGTTACCATGATTAGCATTTTGAAGAAACGCTGCATTAAAATTTCATAGTATTACTTGACCAAATGTCCGGCACTTGTTTAGCTCTGTTCATTCGTCTCCGAAGGGCTTTCTGGATTTTTT